AAACTCACCAAAAAATCCCTAAAAAGTGGTATATATACTCTACATCTGGCCTGTTTGATCAAGTATAAAGTGATTTGGTTATTTGAGGTCATATGTCAACTTCTATCTATGTGAGTGTGCCTGTCTCTGTATTTGTATGTGCATGTTTGTGTTCGCTAATGCACGAAACCCGAAGAGACAGGGTGGCGTATTTGTGACATGTCGAGATTGTAAAGTGCGCCGCTCTGGTTAGATTCCCGCCAGGAGCGAGGCTGAAACTGCAACCTAGTCTGGAGGAGACTACCTTTTGGGAAGCAGGGATAAGTGCAAGTAAATGTGCGAAAATTCAATTAGCAGTCTTTCATCGCTTCATGCGACATGCGACTACTCTTTCTATGGTCATTATATTCATAGTAAAGTATGACTGACATCTTCGAATATAACTGATTGAATATCGCAAATAACGAATGGTGGAATGAGGATAAGGCAAGCAGTTAAGTGTGATTCCCTCTATTCCCTTAGGAAGTTGGTGGCAGCGGTGCGGTTGAAAGAAAGATGATAGTATTACAAAACCGAGCTGCCTTTTGGGGCTGGGCTACACGGCGATCAGTGTAACTTCAGGCATTTTTCAGTTGCCAGCTGAGAGATACTTTAGCCAACCGGTGAAAAACACATCCTTTTGCGGGAGGCTCCTCTTTCAACTGTTCGACTGTAAAGTTCGCCGCCTCAGAGACATCAAAAACACAACAAAAATAGTCTCTGAAGTTGATATCGAGAGATACCAGCAGTTTAAAAACAGGTGAAAGCATTCTTGGAAAATAGTGTTGCTGCCCAACTGACCCATTCGCCTAAAGTCTCTGGAGAAGACATCCGTCATGCTCGTCTGCTTCTCGAAGGCCAGGTCTTTACCGCCATAGTTGAATGGCTTATGCTCGACGGTGACGTGTGGTACATCCATATTCTCTTCATCCTGCATCGGATACTCTTCCTGGGCCCCCATCAACTCGCCGTCTGGGCTTCTGAATGCTGCCTTTGATGCGGAGCTGCGTTTTCGTTGCTCCTCGGTGCGTTGGCGTTTTTGATGCACCCGACGAATGGACTCGTGCAATCGCACGGGATCCACGATGCGTTTATAGTTGCCGGGATCACCAAACAGGCGAGATGGGTTTAGCTCGTCATCGTACTTAATGTCTGCAGTTTCCGAGGCCTCCATGTGGGAGAGGAGGGCAGAAGAGGGCGCGGAAGCAAAAGAATCTTGAGTCGCAGGCTTTTCTCGGAAACAGGAGGCTGAGGAGGGTGAGGAGGGCGGGGAAAGCTTCTTCGAATTGAGCGAAACAGAGCCGTCCTGGTCGAAGGTGTCCTCCGTGTCTGTCAACGATGGTTGGCGGCCGCCCTGAAGTCTGGTGTGTCCGCGGTACATGTCGAAGGCTCGACGAATTCCACGATCCGACGCCGCGTAATGATCGCCGATGGGCTCGTCGGCCGTCTCCCAACCATCCAACATGAACACTTCTGCTTGACTCGGCTCGCCGGCTCCTCTGCCGGTGGCCGGGTGGCTGTCTCTGTGGGCTTCACGCCAGAAGCTGTGCTGCGACGGGTCGGGCGGCTGTAGCAGACTCAGTCTGCCCTGCAGTTGCCTCGAGACTGCTGGCTTCATGTACTCCGGCGCTGCTTGCTGGTCATGTTGCCGCATCCACGGACTCTGGTACTCGAGACCGCCGGGCGCTGACGCGGCAGGAGGGCCAGATCTGCTGTACTCCGGCCGCTTTGGCCCACGCAACCGTTGTCCGTTCGGCACACGCTCACCGGTTTGACCGAAGAGAAACTCTTTTCTGCCCATTCGCTGGTCCCGACGCCCCCGTGGCGGCAATTCGACCGACGCCACACTCGATACAACCGTGTTTGTCGGCTCTTCTGGGATGTCCTGGAATCTGGCCGGCTCGGAGCCGACCTGAGCCTCTTGGTCGGTGCGAGCTGCATCCATCCAATACCACTGCTCCGAGTTGCTATCCCGCTCCAGCGCCGAATAGGGCTCATCATAACTGGCAAAGCCGCCTCGGCCACTGGTACTGTCGACGAGGCTGCTCATTCGCGCCGTCTCCAACTCGGCCGACCCGAATCTGGCCAGTACTCCCATTGCCTTTGCAGAACTTTCCCCTCCTCCTCCTCCCCC